ATAAAAGTGTTAAAACATAAAGTTCCTGTAAGAATACTCCCTTTTAGATGTCGTTCCATCAACGAAATGATGAATCTCCAACACGAAGTCAAAGATAATCATCTTAACTCATCATCCTTCATAATAGTCTGCTACAGGAATTAATGCTTTGTTCCAAGGAACTTTGAATAATAAGAACTTAACTGGAACTTGAACAAGAATCTTTACATGAACGTATACGCTAACTCCTATAGCACCTTGATATAGAAGCTTTGTTATTCCTGTATCCCTAATTCGTTTTATCATTCCAAGTTTACCAAGTTCCAACCAATTTAAGCACTGAGCTCCTAATGGAACAAACTTTTACGCACCAATTTGTCTCAATGGACAAACCTATAAAACAATCATTAATAACTTGCACAAAGCTAGAAGAGAAGTTAGTTTGTCATGATATACATTATAAACATCCAAACAACTTCTCTTTTCATCCATTCACAAATAACCTTCATAAGATTAGGGAATTGAATTTCAATAGGAATTTGTGAAGGATTAATACATACTAAAAGCACATGACCAATATTTACAGAGAGATGTATAGGCGACTTACACACTTATCCATGTTGTCTCTTCACCTACTACAAACCTCTTATAAAGGCTTTCTAGTGAGAGGAATTCGCACATAATTGCTTATATACAAACAACCAAAGATCATCATTATTAATAAGTTGTCTCCACGCACTTAGCCTGCAAAATCAGTCATCTTTTGGCTTTGGTTACCCAATTTATATTGGGTACCTTCATGTTAGTAATAGACATCAATAATCCATAATTAAAACAACTACGGTTAAACCAACTATCTTTACTAACAATAAACATCATGTGTCTATATAATAAATATTCAGAAAAACACATACACATGATAAGGTCATTCTTTGGCAAATATTCAAATATACGTTCATTACCTTGCCCAAAGAATTAAGTTTCCATACAGGGGTAATCTAGGTTCCAAGAGACCAAATATGCATAATTCTACATAATACGTTCCTTGAACTATTTCCAGTAAACCGATTCTTTAAAAATAAATCAATTTGTAAATCTGACAAATAATTTTCACTCTATAAATCAGATTTGAGGTTACACAAAATTGATTTGCAAACTTTCAAAACAAAATCCAAAATTTAACTAGAAATACTAAAAGGAACTTGTACACATAATGTCATGCATATAATCAAGACTTCAAAGACGAGACACTTACCTCAAAGATGTTCATCTTTGAATCACATCTGCTTCACAAGCAGACTTTGGTCTTCACGTGGTATTGGGAACGTTCTAGGGTTGAGTTCCATTCGCTGCATTACTTGTAGATATCCATCCTAGCCTGGAACTTGCTCCTCGGGGTTTCCCGGTTTATCAAGAGCACCGGCTCTGATACCAATTGTTATTTCGGATGAACTACTACAAGAGGGGGGGGGGTGAATGGTAGTAGGTTCCAATCGCGAAACTTATGCGGAAATTAAAAACAAAACGTAAAGGAACTTAAAGCACAAAGCAAGTTTTACGAGGAAACCATCCAGTGCCTAACTGGAAGTAAAACCTCGGCCCTATTGGGACTTATAAACAAATTCCACTATAATAGGCAACTCTCCTAGTACAACCTATTACACAGACCTTTGCTTTGCAAGTTCCACCACGGACACTTGACTCTATGATAGGACACTTCCTACCAGACCTAAGACACTTCTCAGGACCCTTTTTCTCCCTTTACCCAGGAAACTTCCTAGGTGACCCAAGACACTTCTCAGGTTCCTTTCACTCACTGTGCACTCACAGCTACCACTCGAATTTTACCAGATTTCAAACTCATACACAAGCGTGAATTTAAGAGAATTCACAATCTCACCCCAAAATACAAAACACTCAAAACCCTTTTTCCCATTACAAGATCTCATCGAATATCCCTAAATACATATCTATGAATAAAGAGATAAAACTAATATGTTGAACACTCAAGATCTGTCTGGAACTCACTAGACGTACTGTAACCAAAAACCTGATAGGAACTTTGACCAGGAGGACTGACTTAGCTTCGTGGTGAAGGATAAAACCATTAAGCACGACCACTACACTTCGTCAGCCTCAACTTTGAATGAATGCATATGAGCATATTTATAGTACACTCGAATTATTCATTTCATCTTGAAAAAGATAGATTTTCTGAAAAGATAAGTTTAAAAGATATTTTCTAAAAATCAGTTTTCCGAAAATATATCTTTTTGTTAAGAATAAAAACTGTCAATAATAATAAGATAAACTTAGCATAAAATCAGATTTTATTCAAAACTTATCTTTTTGTTTAAAATACTTTTTAAACAATCTTATCTTTTTCCAAAAGGGATTTATTAGAAGATAAATATCTTTATTCAGTAAAACCAAATCCCTAAAAGATATGCACGTATAAGGTAAATATATATATCATTAAAACCGACTTTTAACGACGTTCATACTTAAGTTCCTATTAGGTTCCTGAACTCTGACAGTCTCTGAGTTCCTGACAAGTCAGTTACTCTAATTTCATTGACTGTTTGGAATTCACCTTGGTTCTATATAGACTTGTTCCAGACCGACTTTTATGTCCAACATACTTACATGAATCCTAGAGCAATATACTTCTATTTCTCTGTCTTCATGTTGCTTCTCTGAAACTCTTGTTCTGGAATCCTGTAGTCTTGATATATTCTGGATCTTAGGGTTTTCCCCAGCATTACACCGAAACCAGGTCGTTACAACCCGTTTTGAAGTTCCTGTTAAGAAACTTCTGGAAGTTCCATTTCTGGAACTCTTCTTCTAAATTTACTTGTATCCTCATGGATCCTCTAAAGTTCCTCTGTTTCAATTCCTACTTCAGCCCTCAACGCTTACTGAACCTGCAAACATCACAACACTAGAAAATCCTTATTAAATGGAAGTTTGCTCAATTCTTAACATCATCATCAAAACCTCATAAGGATCAACAAGTTGTCCCTTTTTGATGATGACGAACTGAGCAAACTTCTGAGAATAACAAAGTAAAACAGAAGGTTAGTTTTTTATTTATAAAAACAATAAAGAAAACTAAACTAAATTAAAAGACTCCTACACATACATAACCTATATATGTATAGGATACTTACCTTATGAAGCTAACATATGTAAACACATGTTTACATAGTTACCTTCATGGTCCCTTAGCCATCATCATGCTTATCAACCATAACACTTATCGTTGTTCTTGTTCCTCTATTGCTTATCCTATATTGCTCAAGTTCCTTACATATATACCTGTCATTACTCAGGTTCCTTGTATCCTGTTCCAAGCATAATTTGCTTTTTCTATGCACAACTTAACATACACGTTAGATAGATAATCATCATTAGTTTATAATCATCAAAACCTAATTGCTCAACAGATAAAGTGGACTCATTACTATAATTTTCATAGAGAATTTGTTTCTTATAACATACAACAGTTACTTTCACTTGTATCTAACTACAAGAACATGATTTAAAGTGGACTATATAATAATCCCAACTTTAAGCATCTTAGACAAAAAAAGCACTCTAAGCAGAATGTCTGATGACCGAGATTCATCTTTCTGACCACATTTATTCTTAACACAATTTCTATAATCTGTCAATATTAATTTTATCAACATAGCTTGAGAAACTATGAAGAGTTGCAATGTTTGTGACTAGTTCATTTTTCTTCTGTTTATCCCATTTCATGGTTTTCTATCGACATTCTACGCTATGTACATAAAGTATAAATACTACCCAAAAAAAAAAGGCACGAAAAAGAAACAAAAGGAAAGTTTTATAGACAATAATAAGTTATGATTGCTAGTGTCAAACATGCAGAAACTTAATTAACTGATGCATGGTACGATTTTTATGGCCCCTTTGGTAACCGGTTATAACTAGGAATGGATTTGTACGTAAATTTGGAAAGAAAATCCATGCCTATTCCCATGATCGCTCAAGACGACCCCCAAATTGTCTATTTTTCTTCAAATATTTCCATTCCCACCTAATACCACCACTCTCAAGTGGTAATGGATGTTAATGGAAAAACATGAAGAAAAGACACAAGCTTGGAGGATAAGAGTATGTTCCCATGGAGGTTGTTTTCCATATTAAATTAAAATTTAAAATCCATTCCCACTACCGCAATTTATTACTGGCTAGCAAACGGACCGTTAGGAGTTTAGCATATATATATATATGTATATATATATATATATGTATGTATATATACATATATACATATATATATGTATATATACATATATATATATACATATATATATATACACACATATATATATATATATCAACACAAGAAATTCAATGAACTCTCGTCTATATCATTGTCCTTTGAATTAGTATTACACAATATAGAATCTAACTTTCCTTCACAGAATCATCAATTTCAGAGAATTGACAATATTCTCAAAGCTTAATATAGAGTATTAGATAAAAATAGCAATTCTGTTTTTCACTACAAATTTCACTATCAATCAAACCAATGAAACAAGCAGAAATCTCCCCTGAGAATTAAATAAAGGAATCAACCCCATAATTTGCATATTAACCCTACTTAATGCCTTTTGGTTTACATAAATATACATAAGAAGTAGTCAAGTAGAAGTTCATGGGAAGCAGAAAACACTGTAGCTAATTTGGTTGATAAAAACAAGAAAAATGTCCCACAAAATAGAGAATTAATACTTGTATAGAACGTCTCGTTACTTCCCATGATCAACCGAACAACATTATTCAATTCCTAAGAAATATAACTACAATGGAAATCAACTTCCAACAACTTTATCATACAGTTAGTACTATACAATAAGATCATACAGTTAGTACTATACAATAAGATCATACAGTTAGAGCAATACAATTATTTAAAACCACCTAAATAATCACGCATGCAAAATATATGAAAAAAATCGATCAAAGAAAGAGAAAGATCAGATAATTACCGTTTTGTGATGCAACTTCACCCATTTCACCTGAAATTTCACACAAAAATATAAAAATATCAAAAAATTTCAAAACAAATTTGTGGGTTCTATTTCAAGATTAAATTCTTGCAAAACCCTTAAATTTGATTTCTTGATCTCTTATTTTTTTCTAGCACTTTCTTGAGAAATATGAACAAACACAAAAAGGCAAGTATTTTTATGTAAATGTAAGTGAAATTATGAAGGAAGAGATAAAAAAAGGCGTTACCATAATAAGAAGACACGTAAATTTAATGAAAAAGAAATGTGGACAAATTGGATGCCACATCAAAAACAGAAGTTTTGTGTGACAGTGAAAAAGTTGAAAACAAACAAATCAAAACAAACAAGCAAACAAATGTGGTGAGCCCAAAATTAAAGGATCAAACTACTTTAGACAAATTCAAATTCCCCACCTTAAAATTCAATTTCATTCAATTTTGGTCTAAATTCTAAAAGTGGTAAGGATTCCACGTATGGTTATGGTATCAATTGATTTCTGCATGCACCAAACATGTGTTTTTATCTTAATTAATTACCTTAAAATTATGATACAATACACTTTTGTCACAGTCTATTGCATGAGATTTTTTTTTTTTTTTTTTTTTGATTTTTATCCTATGATCAGAATGCGATACCCACTTTTAAAAGTGTCTCATTAGTCATTGTCATATATTCTATTCATTTTATTATGTTCGTTATCATCCAATTTAGAATATAATTCAGTTTAGAGTGAAATTTTTTGACAATGAGTATTCATCAATATATAAGAAAAAAAATATGAAACATTCTTTTTTTCAAAAAATTGATTGTTCAGAGATTTTTATCTAACAATGCTTCCCAAATGCAATTTTTGGGGCTCATTGCCCACTAATTAAGTTGAGTCTTAATGTCGTGTCTCATCCCATTAGTCATTGTTGCGACTCAAACTATGTTACATGGATTCGGGTAGTGTCAACATAAAGGCTTTCACAAATGAACATAAATCCTAAAAGAATATTAAAGTTATGAACATGACACTCCAAAGCAACACATAACATGTACTACTAGTTTAAATTATTGATCATACCAATTGATTTAGTTTTTAAAACATTAACACGATTAAACTGAATCGATGAATAAATGTATCCATATTCACTCAAATACATAGTAGTACAATTATATTCTCAAACAATGGAGTAAAGGTGAAGGAGGTAAAATACGTACCCATTTGGATCAACAAGGAAAGCGTACTCTTTCTTGTCTGCTGAACTTTCAATTCTCCAATTATATTAAATTTGAATCAACCAATATATTGAACACAAATTTGAATTAGTATTAGTAAGTAATTTGAACAAACTGAAATTAGTAACCACTCTTTTCAAAATTTAAAATAAATTCTTAAACCAGAGAACATGGACGTATGTATTTATTTCATGTCTTTAAGAAAAGAGTAAGAAATATAAGTATAAAATGGCCCAAGTTATTTGGGTAAGAATGCCAATTAGGAGAAGATTCATTGTGCGAGTCATTGATGACCAGGAAAATAAAGGTGGGAAAAGCTAAGTTGTTATCTACCACGTAACTTTACAATTATTTTGCAAATTGAGAAAGGTTGTGGTTGGGATGTTAAAAGTTTAAATTGTGCGGAATTTGACTCAATTCTAATCCAAATTGAATTAAAAACTATGGATTTCGTGGAGATAATTATGAACCATTTCTTCTTTTTTTTTTTCTTTCTTACACCATTATATAACTCAATGAGGTAGGTTGAATTATCAACTATAAATAATTGGGGTTAATATTTTTTTGACGTAATTGTGGGGTTAATAAATAAGGAAACAATTGGTGCATAATGATAAATCAAATAATGAAATTTAAAATCATTGAATTAATTTTCATTTCAAATGACATCATGCAAGAATAATTTAGAGATATGATCTAAATCAAATAGAAAATATAAGCATGATTGATAATTTAACACCTTCTATATAAACTCGAGTGTACATAGGTGCACCCAAGGACAATTTTTTTTTTTAATGCTTATTTTATTATTATTTTTTTTATATGAGCAAAAATAAAATATATTAAATGAGTAAAAAAAAATTATTTGGGTGCACCTTGCACCCTGTGTGTACATAAATTTTCTTCACAATTTAGTAAAAGAAGATAATAAATAAACTCAATTTTTTATGATTTCCTTTACTTTTTAGTTATCTAAGAGAAGAGGTATTTGTTTACTAGATGGAAGCCCGTGCGATGCACTGATTTTTTATCTAAGATTTTTAATTATTTGATTTATTATATTTAATATTTTCAGACAAATTACAAAAGTTTAATATTTATTTTTTTACTATAATTTATAATGAATTTATTAAATATAAATAAATTGTAAATATGATATTTTTTCCGTTATATAAAATCTTTAATGTGAAATGATAAATTTTTTAATAATTTAAATCCTAAATCATTATTCATTGTTTTACCATATCTTTTATTTCGATAGAATCACCAACCTCATCTACAACCAACCTACTACATCAATGGATAAATTGAACTGTGAAATGTTAGCCAAATTGAAATTGATATAAATTAATGTTTACCTTTATATAAAATAAATCAATATATTTACCATTAAATTAAAATCTGTTGCGACATAAAATCAAATCTATGCATTGGATTTTTTTCATCATCTCCAAAAATAACCAAACTCATCCATATATTAAGTCTACAACATCTAACTGTATGTCATTACATAAACAAATAATCGTTAAGTATCCTAAATAAATACAATGTAACTAATAATTACAAATATAAATTTAAACATAAGATTTAAAATATTACCCGGACATTGATGACCTAAAATTAACACAAAATTACTAACACAAAATTCACTTGATGGGGTTTTGTATTGATACGGAATTTTATTTGTGTCGTATGATGTGTTAGATCTGCATGTAAGAAAACATTTAGTAATTAAAACATAAACATATAATCGTTGAGTATCCCAAATTAATACAATGTAAGTAATAATTAGAAATATTAATTTAAACACAGGATATTAAAAATTAAGCTAAAAATTATCCGGCCATTGATGATAAAAAATTAACACAAAATTACTAACACAAAATCGCTTGATGGGGTTTTTTATTGATACGAAATTTTGTTTGGGTCATATGATGTGTCAATTTATAATGGTAGGTATCACAAATTTTAATTTAATTATAATTAACGAACAATTTGTATTTCTTATTATAAATACTATCAAAATTTATGTTATAATGATAGGTATCAAACTTTATTATAAGCGTTTATCATTTAAATATTTTTTAGTATATTTTTTTTGGATTTCTTATACTCGTAGTATTGAATTAATAAATTTATCTTTTCCTATATTTTTACTTTATTTTTTTCATTAAAATAATTTTATTCGTGGATTATAATCTACGTGGCATTAAAATTTTAGATATATCAAATCTAATTCGTCACTTTTATCTAGGTGGCGACATAATTTTTTAATTCAAAAATACAAATCTTTCTTCTTATTGGTTGAAATAAGTATATTTCTTATGTGGCACTTCGAATGCTCTTCAAAAATGCCTACTATATATATATATATATATATATATATATTAGATTTGATCACGGCATGATTATCTATTACCAATCAAAGTTGCTATTCATATTATTTGTAACTTTTATAAAAAAGGGATGCCACACAATATTTGCAACAAATTTATTCTTTCCTTTTTAGGTTGTTATTTTTCTCTATCTCTCTCCTCATCACATGCATCGATATGTTTTTCTCTCCATTTTACACTCATAAACAAGTTTTTCCTATGAAATCGTGCGGTCTCCAAAGCTGCAAATAATATAGAGAAATTCTCTTTGGCACTCACATGTTTTTTTAATTTTCTCTTTGAGTAACAGAAAAAATTTCATATATCTTTGGTAATCATGAATTATTAGTATATATATTAACAATATAAATAATGATATATTTTGGTTAAAATCTTTAACTAGGGTTAGTTTTATTATTCTTTTAATAATTAAATAATTTATAAAAAAAAAACCCACTACCCAATTCTTCCCCCCGATCCCCCTGCTTGCCCAATGCTGGTTGCGCCCGCCTAGACCTCCTCTCCGGCGCCGACTGCACCCACTTATACCCTCTCCTCCACGCCACGCTAGTCGCCGCGACCCCCTGAACCACCTAACCCTCCTTCCCCGAAACTCCCTCCCTTCTCTACAAAACACCCTAAAACCAGACCCCACCCTCAAAAACCTAACCAGCCCTATCCCACCCTTGCTACATTAGGTTTGGTTAGGGTTTCAAGGGTGGAGGCTGGTTTTAGGGTGTTTCGTGGAGGGGGGGGGGGTTAGGGTTTCGAGTGAGGGATGGAGATTGGGTGGTTCAGGCGTTTGCGCGACAAGGGGATGAGGGTTCAACGTGGCGCATGTTAGGAATTTACAACGATTTCAATCAAGAAAACACTTAAATATTGTGTGGGAACAAATCCTAAAATATATGATTACAATTCCAAATTGTAAATAACAAATACTAAACAAAGTATTACAATCAAGTATTTGAATTGTCAATGAAATTACTGAAAATATACAAAGACTACACTAGTGTGAATAATCAAACTTGCCTTTCCTCCAAGTTGACAAAACCAACCACGAACATGAGAATAACGGTAACCACGTAAGTCTCAAATTTTGATACACTGTCAAAGGCGTGTAAACACTTTCCTAAAGAGGTTTATTTCCCCCAAACGGTACTTGGGTTAAACCGAAAAATCCTCTTTGAGATACAATTGACAGCAATTTCGTTCTTAGTACTAGAATCGAAATCAAGATGACAAATTCACAAAAATTGGATTAATTGAAAGAGTTTCCTCACAAAAGTTTGCAAGAAATTTGAGAGAAAAGTGTGGAGAATACTGCTTGGGGAGAAGAAGAATGATGTTTTGTTCCTTTCTTTCACGAATTGATGCCTTTTAATAAAAGACTCAACCGTCAGAAAAACCGCAAAACAGGGAGGCGCGGGCGCTCCACCATGAGGCGTGGGCGCGCCACCAGGTGGAGCGGGCGCTCCTCACAATATCTGCAAGAATTCACAAAAAGGCAGTGAGGGGCGCGGTTTAGGCACGACCAGCAGCGCGGGCGCGCCAACCAGGACGCGCAGGCGCGCCATCCTCACCCTTCCAATTTGCCAAATTCCAGAGAGGTACGCGGTTAAGGCGCACTCTCTGTGCGGCCGCACCAACCTTGCACGGGCGCTCCTTCATGGTCACGATTGCGCAACCATCAACACTCTAAATATTCAACAATCCTCCCCCATTTAGAGTGTTCCTTTAAAATATTCTCCACTTCTAACAATTAAACCACATCTCATGCATCAATGCCAATGTCCCTTCGGATTGAATTGACACCTAGTACAACACACTTAACGATGATTATATCCCATGATTTCCATACGGATTGAATCACACGGATATATCCAACCATTCGAAGGTGAAGTACACACAAGACAAATCGAATTTATCATCACTTGACACTTTTATACAGCCATGTGTCCGTATCTTTCATAAGTTCATCAAAGTCTATATGTCCATCTAGACTTCTTGAAGCGGCTAAACTTCGAACTCATATAGGTAGGTTCTCATATACGTAATAGTGCCCTTGTGATAAGACACCTTCATTTAGAGCTTCTCAACTATAAATCTTTGAGAACTATAAATAGACACTACCTTACACATCACAAGTAACATAACAATATGGGTCATCATACATTGCTAACAAACAACAAAAATGCAATTCATCCACATTGAATCTAAGACTTGATGTTTCTTCAAGCGTTAGATTGGGTTTCACAAATTCGTATTTTTGGACATAAACCCATTCCATTCATGGCAAATATGATGGAATGCTTTGGCATAGCCTTTGTAAAGAAATCCGCCAAATTTAACTTTGTTGGAACATAGTCAAGTCTTATGACCCCATCATTGATAAGCTCTTTCACTAGGCTATGCCTTAGTGAAATATGCCAAAACTTACCATTGTACACTTGACTATAAGCCTTTATCAACGCCGAATTGGAATCACAATGGATTGCCACCGGTGGCATTGGCTTTGACAATAAAGGAAACTCTATCATGAGATTCCTCAACCACTCAACCTCTTTACTAGCTGAAGCAAGAGCTATAAACTCTTCTGCTATAGTGGAATCGTCCGCAATGCAAGTTTGTTTCTTGGAAGACCATGAAATGGCACCTCCCCCAAACATGAATACCCAACCACTTACAGAAGAGTCATCCTCTTTGTGAGTGATCCAACTTGCATCAGATATCCTTCTAAAACTGAAGGAATTCCACTATAAGTTAGACCATAGTCTAATGTACCCTTAAGGTACCTCAAGACTCTTCTTATTGCAAACCAATGCTGTAC